AGCATGACTCGCACCACGTAAAATATATAAAAAGTTACAAACACAACTACAGATGCGTTGTCACCACTGTGGACTATGATGGAATATCTTACAGTTTGTGTTTGTGCTTGTTCTCATACTGCGTTTCTATACCTCTCAAAATGCAGTACTGATATAGTAAGAAGTTAGTAGTAGTAATTTAAGAGAAATGTGAATCCCACCGACACATGTTTGAAGTATACTGTAAGCACTTGCCTTCTTCAAAGCCCTGGGTTGAAAGAAACAAAGAAATATAAAAACGCCTACACCTAGTAGTAAGAAGTACGTGGAATTTTACTTTTACTTTTTTGAGCTTAAATTCAAAGTAGCAACATCACGTAAAAAATTAATTTAAAGTTAGTAGTAATGAATAAATCTAAATTAATAAAAATTTACGTTGGTAAAGAGTACGGAATAAAATATATCGCATAAAATATTGTAAGAAATCATTATTATAATATGATATGTGATTTTTAAACAGAAACATATAATTATGTTTACGAATTAATAAATAATTATAAATTATGCTTATGTGCCATTAGCGTAGTTTTATATACATATATGATTAGCCTAATATTTTCCTCTCACAGCAAAAGAGATGGTTGACTACATAGCAGACTATTTGGAGAACATTAGAGAGCGTCGTGTATATCCCAACGTTCAGCCAGGGTACCTCCACAAACGGCTTCCATGCGAGGCTCCTCACCAACCAGAGAAATGGGATGATATATTTCGTGATGTAGAAGACCATATTATGCCAGGGGTATATTTTGAAAAGTATTTATGTTACGTATGACTAGTCGTCTATGTGAACAAGTTTACAGTGCACGAGTGTATGCGCAAAAATGCGCACTCTTTTTTCCCTCACTCCGACAGTCTGACAGCACGGTAATACGACACAGAACGGCAAAAGATCAGGCGCAGGAACAACGGCTTAACGTGCTTTTTGGGCAATAAAACCACTAATTTACTAACTATTGGCTGCTACCGGTATTCTCTTGACAGAAAAACCGAATAACTGATTGGCCCGATCCGGTATCCGAACCCGGGACCCCATGAACAGTAGCCGCTATACGGGGGCAGCCAAATTCTTATACCTTTATCTATACAAATAAATAAAATTGAACTGCCTGTTTAAATGTCAAAGTAACAAGTTTATACTCAATGCATATGAACACTTAAATTTTTTGTCTGTTTGTTATGCTATCTCTGAAATGGCTGAACTGATTTTGTCAGAACTTTTACTGGCAGATATAAGGAGTAACTTAGGTTACTTTTATTATAGAAAAAGAATGAGGTTTTCAATTGTAATAAATTTTACGCGGATAAAATCGCGGGAAACAGCTATTCTGATATAATTTTAATTCTATTTCACAAAATTAAAACTCTAATTTAATTTGAAATTCAGAAAGTGATAAAAAGTAATATCAATTCTTTCTCAGATTGTGCACTGGCAGAGTCCGCACATGCACGCATATTTTCCAGCACTGACTTGCTATCCTTCTATAATGGGGGAGATGCTCTCCAGTGCTCTAAATGTACTTTGTTTCACCTGGGTAAGTGGACTCTTGATTTTATCTTTCTTTACAACATCCTGTCCTTTTTATATTTAGGGAGTTCGTTATTATAAAGCTAGTCGGTTGCTACGAAGCTGAATAAAAAAAAATACGTGTGGCACTCGGTGACTGCCGCGGTAAAGCTATTGCATAGCATTTTTTTATCAACTTATGCAATTATAATTATTTATTTATTTTATTTATGCAGTTAAGTCTTTGATATTAAATCAAGTTACACTTTTTGAGCGTGGTGACCGATAAGAAAACATTTTTTTTCTCTTATTGAATAAATGAGAAGTTAATATTGTTTAAAATATTTTTAATATCTTACAATACATGTAGGTTATTCAGGAATTTTTATCATTGAGTTAGCAGCTAGTGTACACGCACCGTGCCGAAGTCTGCCGAGTGCCGAAGTCTGCCGAACTGAAACGACGTTAGACGATGCACGGCTTTCAACGCCACACCTCCGTGCCCGTCGGAGTGGGGAGCGTGAGGTTTTTTTTCGTTACGGAATTTCTGGATTCGGTCCCCGCGCTCAAGGCCCGCGATAGAAGCTATGCAATAGCTTAAAAATAATATACCTATAACATTTTAAAATGGTCGTATAAAAGGATTTGTAACCACATACAGATAAAACGAAAAACATGTGACGTATCTATCCATTACAACCTATAAAAGTTCACTGCTGAACATAGTCTTCTCTCAAAGACTGCCTCATAAGATCCATGCCATAATTTTTTTTAATTTGCCATAACTGCCACGCTCGGCAACCGCAGCTTTTTATTATTTTGAGTTGTGGATTATCAGGAAGACACTGCTGCCCATTTCCTGTTTCATTTTGTCACCTCTTACAACACCCTGTGGATGATATAGGGTAGTGGATATTCTTACACTAATACTACTCGGTTATGTGACGTACTCGTATGTAATAGATAATAATAAATGTACCTATGAGTTTCTCATCTCTCACTAACAATATTATTGCACTGCAAATGACTGCTAAGAACTGTTGTGTGTGTTTTGTAACAACAGCTATTTCCTAAATTCCTACTGTTTGTTATATAACATGCGCCCCACTTTTTTTGTTTTATCTGTATAGAGTCATAAAACTGAATTAAGACGGGATTTTCAATTTAAATAACTTTTTTTTCTTTTTAATCTGTCATCCAGTTCTGAGCTATTTAAGTCTCTATCGTATGGGAAAGTTTGTTTTAAATTTTTTTTAATATAATTTTAATTTTTATATTTTCTATTACGCTTTTTCAAGCATAAATTCAAAATACGGGTACATAAAAATGTTATATTAACTATACCACTTCATGAACCTTTACTGTATTAAAATATTATTATAATCAAAAATTAATAAAAAAATTAATAATTATTTCTTTTTTCGTAAAAAAGGCTTCGTCTCCAGCCGGTACGGAGTTAGAGACAATCGCTATGAATTGGCTTGGTAAGATTCTCGGACTTCCTGACTGTTTTCTAAATGAAAAGAATGATAGTCCTGGTGGTGGTGTAATCCAGGTGAGTAATATTTTTGTTATCACGTTGTTAAATGGTTTGATGGTGCAGTGACTAAGCGTTTGGCTGCAGCCCTGTTGAACCTCGGGTTCCCGCATGGAACTAGTGCTTGTATGGATATTTCTGAATGTTTTTCAATGTGCAATTTATGTATGTGAAATTTCTATACGTTAGTGTCAAAATCCTATTGTTTAAACAAATGACTAACAACCCCATTTTAATCTTAATTTAGTATGTAATTAAAAAGAAGTCAAAGTAGTAAGAGATTTTTACCTAACGCTTTAAATTATGAATGTTCTGTAAACATTTATAAAATTTTCTTAACAAAATATTTTTACACTGAGGTGGTGTAGAAATAAGGGTCGCCATGGCATGCTTCTCACTGGCCATTAAGGATTGGGCACTTGGATTGTATCATTGGTCTGAATATTTTACATGTGGACCTTTCGAGGATTATCTTGCCAGGCTTCTTAGGACAAGGCCTGAATAAGATGGGATCAGAGATTTTATTATGTCGCTTCTATATATAATGTGGATATGTTATGATACCTATTCGAACGAATTTTCAGTGGTTAAGTAACTCTACCATAGATTAAAGCATTTTGAGATATATATTTACTTTGCTTTAATATATTTATTACAAATTTTACACACAAAAACAAAACTACAGTTGTACATTTTAAAAATATTAAGAACAAGCAAATGCTAGCCTGGGATTCGACTCCAAAGTGTTATTAATTTATTAACGTGTCAAAATGTACACCTTTACAACAAATACCTACAAAATTTACAAGAACTCTCTATAAAGAAGTTCAAAGATTTGATTAAACAAAAATCTAATATATGAAAATTAATGTTTGTTTGTTTTTTATCTGCTGCCATATCGTTTTTTAGATTGTGGTAAAACTTTGTTAGCTTTTTGCTTGCACTTGCGCGGAAGTTATAGGCATAGTATAATTAACTTACAGTAGGTGGTGCGCATATAGTACCGACAAATTTATTTGAAATTACTTATATATACTTATCATTCAAATTCAACGAAAATACTACTACTGCGGTGCTTGGGCTGGAACCGGTAGCCGTGCTGAAACTGGGAAGGACGAAAATCCAGCCCAAGCAGTAGGCACGGCTGCCGGAACCAGCTCTAAGACATCCGCCAGGAAGCAGAGAGCAGCTAAGAGTCCTGGAAAGAAGGAAAGAGCAGCCAAAAGGATGCTGAATGAGTCCACCTCGCCGAGAGGCGAGCACAAAAAAAAGTGCGACTCGAACAGCAACCAAAGGCTGCAAGAACGAGCTACGCTTCTGATGCTAAAGTAGATTTGGGTGTGCCCTTAACGTATGCACGTTCAGGTCACACAACAAAGCAGGTAGCTGATGACATCCTCGTAGATATACAGAGGAAGATGTACAGCGAGGCCTGGAGTAGCCAGAACCCAGATGCATTCCTAATTAAAGAATATAATTCTTTCAAATTTAAAATGATATTTTTACAATTATTTCTTCTACGAGAGCAACACGTCGGGTACCAGGTAGTTAATGTTAATATAACACAATATTAAAGAATTTATAATAATAATTCGAAAATTATCCCTGGGAATACAGTGATCGCTACTTTGTTGTTCTAAACGCTCTTTCTAAATGTGTTTTATAATAACGAGTGTACAGATACATTTTTGGTTTTTTTCATTATTGATAAAAAAAAGATTTAACTTTTTTTAAATCCGCTGGTTTTCTTGCTAGTTCTAACCAAGACAGGCCCTTTTCCGAACCAGTGGTAAAAGTTTTAAAAGACTTTCAATAAATAATCTTAAAGTACTTTATTTATTCGGTTTGTATTTTCATACATTATATTTAATGAAAATATATTAAAAATAAATATTTGAGTGTTTATTTTTATTTTAGACTACAGCTAGCGAAGCAACATTAGTAAGCTTACTGGCAGCACGAACAAGAGCTTTGATGGAGCTTTCAAAGCTCAATCCTGATGTGCAGTCATCTGAACTACTTGGACATCTGATTTGCTACTGTTCAGATCAAGCTCATTCATCGGTTGAGAAGGCTGGTTTGATCGGTGAGATTTATATGAAATTTAAACCCACGCTGCAGAGTATTATGGCCGCAACATGAATGGGTCCGCTTAAACGGGGAAGGATGTTCCAACAGGATAGCGACTTAAATATCAACATAATGTACTCTTGTTTCAAAAATTTACAGGAGGTTGCTAGAGCGGAAGTACTATAGCTTCTCGAAACATCGAAATATTATCAATTTGACACATTTTATAGGTTTCTACAGTATATTATCCCTCACTAGTGAATAATATTATAGTATATTTTTCAATAGAATAAACGGTAAATCGGTGCTTAAAACTTAAGTTAACAATATGGTGTTGCGAACAGTGAACTCGCTTTTCACGAAGTAACATCGTGCAAAATATAACATATCTATGTAAATTCAAAATAGAAGGTTATATTCTTGTTAATCTACAAAGCTATAAGCATTTCTAATGTTATTAGTATTGCTTTAGCCTTAATAATTTTCTTTAAGGTTTGGTAAGGATGCGGTACATCGAATCTGATGAAAACCAAAGTATGCGTGGAGACAAGTTGGAGGAAGCCATTCTCAATGATAAGACCAAAGGACTTGTGCCGTTTTGGGTAAGCCCACTTTAGTGAGATTTTCTTAATTATTTAAAACATAATTGCAAATGATGATTAAAATGGTCTGCTGATTGCTGACTTTAGTATTAGTGACAGCTTCCAATATTTTTAATGGCTGTCTACTGACCAGGCGATAAAATGCGATAATTAAAGGCTCGAATAGGTATTGACTCGTTTGTATTCTGACCGTGTTTAATACATAATGTGTGAAAATTGGAGGTAGGCTACGACGAAGTACTAGGGAGGACATCTGATACTTTTTGCGATGTATCACAAAACAACATCATTTGAAGACGAAACGTTTGTATTTATGTATTATTTCTAGTCCCAGTTTGAATTTAGTAATCATTGCCTAGAAGCCTGAACGCTAATTAGTCGGTTCTACGGTCGTTAAGTCATATATACAAACAAATTTCTTTTTTCGCATTAGAGTTCGAAGATATAGATTGTAGTTGTTGCTTCGGTTCGCCAATTAAGGCTGGTAAGGGTCTTAGATCATACAGCCTAATCTGATTTGTATTTTGTTTACCAAACTTTTCACAGTATGTTGATGTGTCACATTGCAAAGTTCTTAGGATATTTTAGCTACATCTTAACCTAGCTGATAATTGATGACGATGATGTCTCAAGGCTCTTAAACAGATAAAATCTTAAATCCTTAAGGCACCGAGGAAACATTTGTAACTAACTTACTACACCACTAATAGTTCAAATGCGTTTGTAGCATGAATGGGTCGGGGTAGAACCACGCTCTCACAGAATACCAGAGTAAAATAGCAGCTTAATGTTGTGTTCCATGTGGTAAGTGCAGAGAACCGGACACCATGATTTACTGGAAACGAGGCATTCCATCGTAGTCCTCAGGGATGACATTGCATCTGCATTTTGATTCATAATTGAAGATAAATGGGTGCGTTTAGCAGAAAAAAGCGCTAGCAAGCGCTTGTAAGCAAAATGGCTATCGTAAGCGGTAAGCGCTGTCAAATCGTAAGTAGCTGTTTTCCTCTAGGACACGATGTTAGTTTTAACCGGGGATCCTAACCTAATTTAAATATATTTTTGTGAAGTATTCATATTAAAAACTTACCAATTATGAATTTTTAATAACATGTATATGTCTATTCATGTCATTATATTACTTAAAACTAATATTGCAAACAACAACTTATAAATTCTATTCAAAACAAACAAATTATATAAGCAAAATGGCGGATTGTGTCAGCGCTACTGAAGTAGCAATCGTGTCCTGGCCGAAAACTATTTTAGCGCTAGTAAGCGCTTGCTAGCGCTTTTTTCTGCCAAACGCACCCATAGTCTATGGGCCACATAATCTACTTACCATCAGATGGACTGTGTGCTCATTTGTCACCGCCATTATATAAAAAAGATACAGAACAAATCTATTATAACAAATATATTTTAAGTAGTTCAAATAATACGCATTAATAAGTAACGTATTGTTCTATTTATATACAAATGTTTTAAAAGAAAAATCTCGGGGGATAAATGTTTTTAAAACAATATCTTTAGAATCACTTAAATTAAAACGATCATTATGGAGAGATTAGTTGTTTTCATTTTTAATATGAACGCCAACAAGAAGCAGTGTTCCCTTTGGGGCCAATTTGTATTGCAGAGATTGTGCGGAGAAACCATTAGCTGGGACAAGCAATAAGTGACTGGCGGAAATATTATAGTAAAGCAAATTTGTTGAAGGACCACCACGTCTCAATTTATTACATGCTATTTTTTATTTTTAAAATTCATTTTAAAATACGTTAATAATTCATTCATGCCCGGTTTCTTAAGTACTTTTAACGACGGTTTATGTTTTGTTAGTGCCGTTAGTTTGATAGCTTATGAAAGTGCTTCGGAAGTATAGCAATTGTCTTATATTATTATTTTCTTTTTTTCTTCTTTCAAATTAAAATAAACTCTGGTTTTCAACCACCGGACAATGAGGTGTTCAGTGGGTCCACACCCTTTTGTTGTCGATATTCCACCCATTTGAACCAAACGGCTTGCTTCATTTTTTGTACAGCAAAGGCACGGGCAAAGGAGTGGGCTTATTTGCTGGCGTGGGACTTTCCATCCCATTACAATCTGGGCATCATCAAGGCAAGAGTGAATAGGCTTTTGTTACGCTATGAAGTACAGAACACTAGAGTGCATTTTCCTGAGGGGTGTTTCATCACCACTTAATACCAGGTCAGATTGTAGTCAAACACTGGCTTTAATAAGTAAAAAATTCTATAAAAAAGCCGTTTTAAACATAGGTTAAATCAACCCATTGAGACTGACTGCGTCGTTGGTCTATTGGTTGTAAATCGTCGATGACCGAGTGTTTTCCGATCGGCTCGATTCACTGGCACTGCGAAGAGATGTTGCATCTCTTTGCATTTTCTTTCGCATATACCATGGAGAGTGCTCTGAGGAATTGTTCGGATTAATCCCAGCCGCCAAATTTCGTGAACGCACTACGCGGCAAACGTCGCGATACCTTCCACATCATTTGGATGCTTGGCGGTCCACCACTGTACGTTTCAAGAGGAGTTTTCTTCCGCGTACAACCTCTCTGTGGAATAGTTTACCACCAGCGATTTTTCCGGACCGATACGACCTGGGGACCTTCAAGAAAAGAGCGTACTCCTTTCTAAAGGGCCGGCAACGCACCTGCAATTCCCCTGGTGTTACGGTTGATCATGGGCGGCGGTAGTCACTTAACATCAGGTGAGCCGCATGCTCGTTTGCCCCCTCTTCTATTAAAAAAAAAACGCTCAGCAGTCGATCATGAGGTACTGGGTTCGAATTCCGCGTTTTCAGTAGCAACCTGAAGTAAGGAAGTTTGTAGTGTTTCACCCCCATGCCTCAGAAATCACATAAAGACGATGGTTCTATGATTTCTTCTGTCGCGTCAGCTTGCCATCCTATCAGACTATTAGTATGACGTAGATGTCTAGTCTCCGTTAAGACTGGCGGCTGTGATCGTTCCAAAAACAAGTCCTTCTCAGAGGATATCCTGCAAAAAAACTCTGGGAACTTTAATACTTCTTAATTTCCATGTTACTATTTCTTTTTATTTTTACTGGTGTAATATGTAATATTTTTAAATGGCAATTTTTACAATATATTAATTATTATTTTTTACAATATATTAATAAGCGATGTATTACCAGTGCCATTCATCTTTCATTTACATGTTATAGGGAACGTCATCATCATCATTACAGCCCTTCACAAGTCCACTGCCGAAAATAGGCATCCCCCAATGCCACAAAGCACAGTCCTGAGCTACTTGCATCCGTCGACTTTGACTTTGGAGCTCTGGATCCGCTCGATCACTTCTTAAATACGAGCTGTATTGAAGTTGCGTAAGTCTCGCCGTACGAAATTGATTGCCTCTATGCTGTAAAATCTATTGAAGACTGGAGCTTCATTTTCCGTCTAACAGCCATGAGTGTGATCGGAGAATTTTTCGGTTCATCTGCGACGGGCCTTACAGAACTTAGCTCAAACCGCATTGACTGTTTCCACGATTTTGTCATTCATATCGTACACTGTATTGTAGTCTTCTAGGCACTGAACTTTGTAACTCAAGCTGAACGGTTTTGGGACTTTAGATTAGAGCACCAGGTGGACGGAGCGTTGACTTCATTAGACGAGATCTCTTCAACTTAAAGTTAAGGTTCAGAGTGCCTCTACCCATTCGGTGATCACTGTCCGTTTTCACACTGACACTGATACATAACTGAACAGTTGCTATCTGGTCGTCATAATGAAGTTAAACTCATTTTTGATCGAAGCGTTGTGGCTCGACCGGGTCCACTTCCTGTGAGGTCGCTTCTGCAATAAAGAGTTTTTCATAGAGTCCCTCTTTCTCCATACAGTCCGCCAGCTGATGGCCCCTTGGGTTTCGTTGCCCCATTCCAAATTTCCCTACCTTCAGCTCACCGTTTTCTCTAGTTTTGCGTTGAAATCTCTCATTAAAAGTTTTGGAGGAGTGCATGGCTTTAGAGATATCCTCAACCATTACCTCCACGGAGGTTCTTAGCACCCTCGGCCCCGTCGTTACCATGGTCGCCACCATAGTGAGGAATAGCGGCGCCGCCGGGAACTTGGGACCGTTTATTTGTGTCGTTGCTCTGCCATAGTTGCCACGCTTGGTGAGCGGTTTGCTAACCGCATTTTTTATTGTACTATTACTGTTATCACGAAGATGAACCAGCCTGTTTCCATTTGTCGCTTCATACGACACCCACGAGAAGTTATGGGGTAGTAAATATTCTTAACCGCCACTACTCGGCTAATTATACTAGTACTAAGGACCGTACAAATAAGGATGTACTTCTAATATTTTTTATTCTAAAATAGAGACATGCACTATCGAAAAAGTACACTAAATTTTTGTTTAATTTAATAAAAACCATATAAAGTTTCACTTAGGAGGAGAATATAACGAACGGGTTCCGAGATATGGTATAAGTCAAAGAGGCTATAGCTATTTAGTGAATATTGTCAGGAAAACAACAGGAAACTATTAAGCGTCAATGAGACTGTTAATTATAATTTAAGCGCATATCGCGTCTCAAAATTGCTCCGCTAATTATATATTGACGCGAATAATAAGGTTCATCCTTAGTTCATATGCTCCAACAACAGGATGATAGGTATAATGGATAGGTAGCTGAAGTGCAAACATAATCATTTAAAGTCATTATCAAATTAATTGAAATATTTATAGTTAACAAGGCGTGTTGTTTTTTAATGAAATATTCAAATAGCTGAAACAGTCGAGAGTAAATGGAAAAAGGATACGTCATTAGAAATCTTAATAATAGATCTTTACCTATGAAATTGCCGTTCTGCAGTACTGGCCATTTCAAATCAAAATAATTTTTGTTTGGCTAAGAATTATAATTTCAAATCAATATTATTTTAAAAACATGGACTTCTTTATTCAAAATTAGTCATTTATTTATTGATAAGCGGTTTCATCACTTATGAATCTTTTTCGTCATTATGGATACGTTAAAAATTCGAATAATTATGGAATATAAGTACCGTCGTGGTACACGGTATAAGCGGCACGCAACATCAAAGACGTAACGGAGCGAATATTACAAACGCACCACCTGTTATTGGTTTGCCGACCTCGGTTCTGGAAACTTCGGCCTAAAAAATAAACCTCATGGTCACCCGAAAACTTTGGTTGAGAATGACGAGTTAAAGGTAATTGTGTAAGCTGATGAATCTCAATCTAAATGCTAAATCAGCAGCAGCTTTTGACGTTAGCATCAAAACAATATTGATACATTTGCGTCAAATTGCCAACGTGAAAAGCTTGACAAATGGGTGCCCTACGAATTCAACGATCGCCAGCACGAGTTAGGCGTCGAGACGAGCCTTGACTACTCCACAGTGCCGGTGAGTAGTGCAACAAACGAAGGAATTTTGAATTGCATTGTTATCTGCGACGAAAAATGGATTCAGTTTGACAATCGCAATCGCTCTGCAAGTTGGTGAGATCCTGGTTCAGCACCTACACAGTGTTCTAAATGAAAACTTACCCCTAGAAAAACATTTTAACTTAAATTTAAAATTTGAAAAACCCCCGAAACAAGACAAGCTGATGAAGATGGAATACCTCGTTTCCTGTAAAAATACTCCGGTTCATTACACTCACCTTACGAAACATAGCAGCGTTCAGCTACTATTTTAATGCTGCTATTTTATGAGGGCGTGGTCTTTTACCGGTCCCAACCCATTCGTGCTACAACCATAATATATCTGCAAAATGTCGTAACTATAATAGTCCAATTATTTATTCTTGGCAGAGAGTTCGGTAGTTTAGTTTACACATAAGATGGTCAGAACCTATTGTGTTGTATGTGATGTACAATGATTTCCTATTGTTTGGTTTGATTTTATATACATATTTATATCTGTATACGAACTTTCCAATTATAAACATAATTTCAGGTATGTGCAACATTGGGTACAACCGGATCTGTAGCTTTTGACAATCTGCGTGAGATCGGACGGGTCTGCGAAAAACACACTGCGTGGTTACACGTGGACGCTGCGTATGCAGGCAGCGCATTTGTTTGTCCTGAATATAGGTATATAGATACAATTTGGGTATGATTTTTTTATAGGATAGGATGCAAACGAGCACACAGTCCACCTGATGATAAGTGGTTGCTGTGGCCCATAGATATCTACATCTATCCTCGATTACGAATCAAAATGCAGATGCGTTGTCATCCGTGAGGACTTTGGTGGAATGCCTCGTTTCCAGTAAAAAGAGTCTCCGGTTCTCTACACTCACCATACGAAACACAGCAGCATTAAGCTACTATTTGAGGCTGGTATTCTGTGAGAGCGTGGTCCTTCCTCGATCGAGCTGACCCATTCGTGCTACAACTATATTTATACTATATATTAAATGACTATATTATTTTATAATATTCGTGGATATTGCTTTTACATAAAGTAAATGTTTATTTTGCTGTTTCATAACATTTTTATGTTACATTTAAAATTACAATTAGAGCAAATTTCACTTTAAGCAATACATACTCTTACGACTTCAGTATATTATTTAAACTTGTATAATACAACAAAAGGACGGAATAAGAAGAAAATTTACTCAACTTTGAACACATTATAAAGAACATGGTTACAAAGTGTTACAACGAAAGTGCTGCCAATCTAATGTTGCCATATTAAATCTTAACAAAAATATAACAACACGAGTAATAATAAAGTATAGTGTAAGAGTTGATATATTAACATACTGTGGTCTAGAGGTAAAGCCTGGGTGCAGAGTGTTCAGCAGGGCGTGTAACGTGGCGTCATGACAAGCACATATTATTTTAGTGTTACAGTATTCTGAGAGCTAGATGCTCGATTAATGTAGGAATCGCGCCGTCATTATTTTCGTGCCGTATTACAAGAATTTTCATTTGTCATGTACGCTAAACGTCACGCCCAGCTGCATGCTCGTCAATATGCTAGTACTAGATTGTTAATAAATAGTTAGTACCTACTAAGGTTTTAGTCGTAATCTCGAATTTTTATAGTAAAAATTTCTATGAGAATTCTAATTAATTTATATGAAAATTTGTTCTTTATTCACTGAAGCACTTCTTTTTTATTTTAGGCATTGGCTTGATGGTGTGGAGCTAGCCGACTCCTTTGCTTTCAATCCTTCGAAATGGCTGATGGTGAATTTCGATTGCACTGCTATGTGGTAAGTGTTATAAATGTTGTTTTTCTTATAAAAGATAGGGAGATTAGCGAGCACCTAACCCTGACAGTCAGTGGATAACATGACTCAAAGCCTACGCCAACATTTTTGTTTGATTAAGTATTATACTAAGAGACTAAATTGGTATCCATTACAAAAGGGTGTCTAGACTGTGTCAAATACGAACTTGGAGACACACATGCGTTGTAAATGCGATTAGTCGATGAAATTACCTTGAAAAGACTCGCGACAATGGCTTAGCGTTCATTGAAAAATGGATTAAATATTAGCCTCGCTACACATAATTGCAAAAAAGACATGATACAGGATTAATAAAAAAATGATTATTTTATTAGGAATCAATTTTTTACATTTAATTTTCTTATATTATCTTGGATAAATTAATAATGTCTATTTCAATAACTTCGTCAAGTTGAAAATGAACTGAAGAGATAACAAAACGTCTCCGTGATATATTAAGAACTCTGCTCCTTTTTTCTGAAATTAATGAATTATGTTTACTGTTCTAACTGTTTAAGGTAAGGTCTTTTCTTACCTTAAAGCAAAGAATCTTTATTTAAAGACAGTCAAATTAAAATTTTCTAAACATGTAAGATGATCTAAAATTATTACAAAATATTGAAAATCAAGCCTTAACAATTAGTGTAATTCATTTTCAGGGTAAAAGATAGCACAGCTCTTCACAAGACGTTTAACGTGAACCCTATTTACTTACGCCACGAAAATTCTGGTGAGTAATTTAATTTTTCCATGAGAATTTGAAACAATTGATTTGATTCCGAGGGCTTTTAACTAACAAAATAGTTGTGTATATAATATGTTCAATACATATTTCTATTTCACTACCGAATTCAGTTCCGTGAACAAAATATTTCAATCGTGTCACTACACTATTGAAATATTTTGTGGTAGTAGAATGTTCTCCCACATCGTCATGTGGTTGTCGTAAGAAATGACAGAGGAAAACAAACGAGGACATGAGCTATGCAGTCTTCCGAATGACAACCACTAAGAGTTTGCTTTAATTGTTACGCCTGGTGTTTGACGATCGCCATTACAAATATTTTGCATCTTTGACGCTGCTCTCAGTCGCCGCTCTGGTAATTTTATGCCTGATGTAAATGAGGTGTTATACCGCCATCTTTCGAAAGATATACGGACTTTCTGACATTTTCTTTAATCGCCTCTTATGACATTTACGGTACAAAATGTGTGAATGTATTCTCTGACGCTACTCTCGCACACTCATTGTGATGATAGTTTTAGTTTTAGTCTAAAGTTAAAGTTAATGTACGCCCCGCTGCTGAGCACAGGCCTCCTTTCATTTCTGAGAGGGTTCTAGGGTAAGGCAATATCCACCACGCTGCTCCGGTGCGTGTTGGCGAACTGCACAACATGTCTACGAATTATTTTTTTCTTAGTTCTCACACATGCCGGTTTCCTCACGATGTTTTTCTTCACCGTCGAGTATGTGGTAAATTAGCACTTAAAATTAGAATTAACAAATTTCATTTGTGCCGGCGGATATTGAACCCGAGTTGCGTACAGCGAGCGCATAGCTCCTAAGCTAACACGGACCTTTTTATGCTCTAAAATATAATAAATAAGTGTAGCCCTAGTAAAATTATTAATTCATTATTTTATATCTTTTCAGGAAAAGCGATAGATTATATGGTAAGTTTGCAACTTTATATTAAATTCTTAGATTTGATGACATTACGCAGAATATTGGTTAACGAAATTAGTTATATAATAATTTTTATATGCGTGGATATATCTCCAAGTGCAATTTATGCGTTTAAAACGACTTTACAATACAGTAAAACTAGAGTTAGGCTGGATAACGTTTGTCTAAAAAAATAATGAAAATGTCGCGCGTCAAATTTTGAATACCCTTCGCGGGGTTAATTTATAATTATTTATTGCAAACTTATCAAATAAAAGATTACAAATGGATGACTTAATGCCTATTGGAATTCTCTAACCGTCTGGTTACGGTGAGAATTTGTGGCAAATACAATTATATTAATTAATAAAAAAATCTTCTAATAAATATTCATAATAAATAAGCAAGTGATTTTGTTTAAGTTTAGTATTAAGAAATTTTAATTTACCACGTATTTTTCCATATTCTTGCATTGTCATCCAAATTTGAGCTATATTCAAAATTTGAAGTTTCCAGCTCATCGGGAAGTTAGTTTAAAATCAATTAAGTTAAAAAATAGTTCCATCAGGAACGAAAAACAGACAAACAAGAACGTGACTTAATAAAAACGTGGTAAAATAGGCATTAACTTAATAGATTACGTCAAATAAAAAAAAAACAAATTCATACATATAAATATATCCATACATATACAGTTACACTATATACCTACATTTAATATACTTATACTACCCCATATCGTCCCGAGGGTGTTTCAAACCTGTTAAAAAAATTATAAAAAAACTGCGGTTGCCAACTTGCTTGCTAAGCGTGGTGGCTAGGTACGGCAAAATTCATAAGGCATGAGGCTGTAGGGAGGCCTATGTTCAGCAGTGAACTTTTATAGGCTGTAATATATATATATATATATATATATATATATATATATATAATTAAGAACATCGATTCCAACCAAGGGTGATACGTGAGGCTATTGAAATTAAAAAAAAACATCCTAATTTCAATAGAAAAGGAGTCTGGGTACTACCTTTAATTGGGTTTAGTTTTAATTTTAATTAATCCAAGCATACCACTGCAAGATTTTAAAACACAATAAGTTCATTCTTGGTATATCGGACTCGGTTAACTTTTGACACCGGGACGTCAGTCACCTCAGTCCCCCGTGACCACGGGTGCTGGAAAGCACCCGAAACGTCAGGTATTAAAAATTAAAATAAATAAAACGAGATAAAATCCGTAAAAGTAGTTTTAAACAAGCCAATATTGTTCAAACGAAAAACTTAGGTCTATTTACCTACATTATTTTGGTTTCAACTGATATTCCGAACTCTGTTTTGCGTTTATAAGCTAAGGAACGTTGTTCCAGCACACGGCTCCAAGTTTTCACCCTTTCCAGCATTTAGAATTAAAATTATTTTTAAATATTATTAATGTTCTATTTCAAATACGCAAATTAAAGGTTGGAACACAGAACTCGAATATAAAGAAAAGACTTTTAAACGCCGAAATAAAAGAAGATCAACAGATAGTTTCTAACGGGGATGCTAATGGGAAATTTATCAATGGTAAAAGTGAGAGCTATTCCAACGGAGACAGCATTCATGATGAAGATGGTGATGAGAAATTGAGAAATCTCCATGGCTATAATAAAATATCACCAGGCTGTGGTACAAAGATTCAGCTAGAAAATCCAGATAAGAAAGAACCACTTGTACGATATCAGCTTTTATATTTGATGGTGGTGACGGTTTTGGTGATGGTTTTTGTGGCGGATAAATAACAATCTTATTAATAAAGAAAACAAATGCATAATATAAATAACATACTAGGACCAACAAAAGATAAACACGACATTAAGTACGTTTCAAGTACCTAACGCTAAAACTTTTCTCAACTTCTAGATACGCACATTAAAACTATATGACTATAGTCATGTAAATGATTTTAGATGAGTATTCTTACAATAAGTTAAGTATGATCTCGGTTAGATTTCATCGTCCTTGAAATGTACCCGTGTGATGCAATGCGATCTGTCGGTCTTTATTGGTCTATTTTCTATAATATTTAATTAAAAAGTATAGCTATCCTTCAAGAAGCAAAATTAACCTTTATATGTTTTTAATCTCAATAAATCGTAGCCTTTAATATTCCTTTAGCTTAATTTTTTGACTTACAGTGTGTAAGTAGTTTTAGTATATAATTCTTAATCTAAAGTAATAGATTTTGTGATAGCGCCTCATATAAACAATGAAAGAAATTTAAAAATTTACAAATTGGCTTTCACAATTATTAACCTGTTTACTTGTACAAGAAACAAAACTTTTGATTAATTAATAAATTTTTCATTCACAGCACTGGCAGATTCCACTAAGTCGACGTTTTAGAGCCTTGAAGCTTTGGTTTGTGTTGAGAAATTTTGGCGTTGTTGGACTACAAAAGCATATTCGTGAGGTAATAATATCAATGTATAACCAGAATTCAGTACCAAAAACAAAGTAAAAAATCTACTAAATGTATAGGAAATAAGTAAGTGGAAAACTTAGTTAAAGTTAGTTAAGTTGTTATATATAGAGGTAAAAAATGTGTGGTGATCTGTTTGTTAAGTATTTTAAATTAGCTGCAATACTTGAGCTGAAACGTATTGTTTTTTCATAATTAAAACCGTGTGCCGTTTGTTTGCGGCATAAAAAACCCATCACCACATTTCGTTCCGTGAGTGTCATAAGAAGCGACTATAAGAAATATCAGAAAGACCGCATGGCTTCCAGTAGATGTCGGCATAACTAACTCTTTTACGGTATGGCGACGGGCAGCAGTGTCTAAGTGCGAGACGTCTGGTATTGCGATAATCAACCCACCAAATATAAAGAAAAAGTAGAAAGAATAAAAAAAATCTAAAACGGGCGAGGTAAACAAATCAAAACAAATATGTAAACAGATGCCTTAAACTAGGTAATTATTCATTATTTCAGAGTGTACGGCTAGCACAAAAGTTTGAAGCTCTCGTACTAGCCGACCAACGTTTTGAGATGCCGCAACCAAGGAACTTGGGTATGTAGTATTCTTTATACAAAATTAACAAGTTAATTATTGATTATATGTTTAAAAATATGTAAATTATAAGATTACTGCAATAACTATTTAAGAAGCAAAATATGTCAATCGGTTTTTATCATCTTTAAATTTACGACGCAAATACGTACACCATTATTTATATGAATCTCTGTTTTAGGAATGGTCGTATTCCGACTTAAAGGCGATAATACTCTGACTGAGTGCTTGCTAAAACGTTTAAATGCTCGCGGCTACATTCACGCTGTTCCTGCTTGCTTCAAGGGTGTCTACGTCATACGTTTTACGGTGACTTCGCAAAGGACCACGAATCAGGATATTCTAGGTGACATTTAATTTTTGTACTATAAATAATAAATTTTAATTTTGCTTATGCAGAAATCAATTATACTAAAGTTGGTAAGAATTACCTTGCACAAATCCGCTCTATAAAATAAAATGATGTGTCTTACTTAGTTTGAAGAGCACCTCCCCCCCCCTCAATTGCGTGCACTAATCCCGTCACCACTAATCTAATAATTTAAGTATAAACAAAAAAGTAAGTAAAAGAGAGTAAAGAGAGCAGCTGTTTTGACTCGCCGCTCACTTAGTGTTCAGCCACCGTAGAGTCTACATCACCTGAGGATGCCTCTTGTAGAGGCGAAATACGTGTCGTATTATCGTCGATAGTGTATCTTTCCAAGTGTAGTGATGTTGAGAGTAGTGGTGATGGGATATGGTGCACGCAATTGAGGGAGGGCAGGAGGTGCTCTTCAAACTAGGTAAAACACACCATTTTATTTTACTGAGCGGATTTGTGCGAGGTACTTTTGTTTTAATATTATGCTTTTGATTTAATTTTTATAAACTAAATTAATAAAATTACAATTTATTCCACTGTTTAAAAGTGCTACAGGCTGATTTTCAAATATTAGTGCAAGCAAACGCAGATGCACTCATTTGCCTTAAATCTACTCCTTCCCAGTGTTACGCTTATTATGTTATTAGATTGCAGGCAGACTTGGAAGTAATTTCAGAAACAAAAAGGCAATAACAACTGGACAAAAAAAAACAATAATTAATGTTTTTGAATAAATTCAAATCTAAGATACGCGACTTGTAGAGGCTCTTACTGTGTGACGTGGTAATCAGGCGGATTCTGAGTAAAAAGTACGATTCGGCGTGATCTTGAAACATCATATACAACTCCGTAAGGTCGGAGGTTCGTAAGCACCCCAGACAAACTTAATTCACATCATAGTGGTAGTGAGACTACGGTCGCTTCCTGTTTGTATATCCTGTGACTATTCATGGAAGTTTTCAGAAGCTGCCTGAATCCCTTTAGGGTTTGTTTTCTCCCCATGCTTAACTCTCACAAATTTATGAAACTTACTTTATCTTATTTGTCCAAGTCAATGTCCATATATATTTAAAACATATAAGATTTTTAACATTGATATGGTCACTATATAATGTTGTTAGGTTAGCTAATTAAGTAATTACTTAAAACAGAAGGACCCTTAAATAGGGACTGAATAAAGAACCGACTTAGTATTACATGGATCTCACAACTTTTTACGGTAGAAGAACTTGAAGAGTTGCGAATCTTGGTTTTTTTACAAGTTATGTTTTTGATGACATTTAGTTATCCCTTTCTTGAATGTAAGAAATTTAGCTTTTTTATAACTAATATGCATTTTTTAGATGACTGGAACGAAATTAAGACGGTGGCTGCTGAAATTTTGACCGAAATGTTTGGATCTGAATACGGAAATATTGTTGTACCAAAGAAGCCACGGGTCACCCTAAAAGGTGAACTTTTCATAGTTTTACATATAAAAGCAGTTACGTAATGGAAAAGAATCTGATCTAATTTTTTGTTTCCTTCTAATCACAACTGTTAAATATTCCCAATTATGAAGATATCTTTAATCAAAATTTATACAACAATGGTTGTGACAATACTGTACTTCTTTGTTTTTAGAAACTAGGGAGCTTAACGCCACTTTTGGAACAAGTCTTCTGCTAGCCAACAGTCCAATGAGTCCAAAAATCGTCAACGGAACTCACGTCGCCATATGTGACTATGAACAAGTTCTTAATTCCTGTGCGCAAACTTTCGCTCAGTTAAAAATGGAACCTAAAGATAGTCCCGGTGAGTTTAAGAATTTAGTGACAATTGAAATCAATGAAATTTATTATAAAACTGGCTGATCCCCGAGTTTTCATCGGCGTGTAATTCATTACCATAGAATACTATAATTACATACATAATAGAACGGGGGAGTGGTGTTTTGACGTTACAATCGTTTTCAAATTTCGTATGTAAATTATTTAAAAAATGTCAAATTGCACGCTATTTACAAATAAATACGTAATAAAATCTGTCTGTCAACACAGCGAATCGAGTTTGTAGTAGTGATAATATGACGTAATTGCTTGTATGTGTGCTCCCGGTGATGCATATCCTCGTACAAAATAAGGTTGACAGCCATTCAATAGAATGGCTGTCAACCTTACAATAGTGTATTATAGTATTCTATGTTTATTACAATTCGTTTTCATGCGTTTTAAATTTTTTGCTCCAAACCCTAATGTTTTTAACTTTTTCTAAAGTAAAAGTAGCCCGAGTTTTTCTTTATTAGTTAATGTTAGCTATCATATTAAAAAGCTATTATTTTGACGTTACAAACAGACTCTCAAATTTTACTTATTTCTATAGATATCAATTAAAGTTAATAGTCATAGTCCTCAAATATTTTATTGATATTTCATGCCTTTAGCGATATTTGGGTCATAAATTTTATCACCCTGATTCAAAACGTACTAAAATACTGTAAGTTATGAAAGCTTAAGTAATTAATTATGAAACTGTTATCAATATTTGATGTAACTATACTTTTTATTGTAGTAATTATAATTTATTTCTAAGGCTTTACACTCAATGCATTTCTTCAGCGTTCAATATTGGCAATTTTAATTTATAAAAACACTTTAAAATATTTTACATAGAAAAAAGCCTTTTAACTCATATTGCCTATATATCAATTTGATAACAATCTAACAACATGTAAACCCTAACAACAAACGTATCGTCACTTTAAAACCAGAGATGCGTCGACGTATTCGCGGTATCAAAATGTGCGGTAAGAAATTCTCGTTGGATTCCTGTATGGATATGGTGCAGGGCCTCATGATGGAGCAATCGCTTCCTCAATGTTCTGAAGAAGAAAGAGAAGAGATTTCTGCTGGTATGTCCATACGTTAAATAGCGTGGATCATGAATCGTAGCAATAATTAATAATTGATTGTATAGCTGCAATTGTTTTAAGCTAACGTTCATGTAGTTTTTAAATTTACCTCGAATAATTTCGACTTTTTAAAAAGTATGTTGCATAAATTTTTGTGATAGTATTCACTTATTTATATTTTATAAATTTCATTCTGAACATAATTCCTTCAAAACTTTCATTACTTTATTGATAGCACATGTTCTCTTCATATTCTTTTCATGTTCTCCGTATTATGTTCAAGTTTCTTGTGGTATCATAGTTTTTACGACCTATAAATGGTAAATTTTTCCGTACTCGAACTGAGCTTTATGTTCTTAATGCATACATTAGAGTTGTTGATGCTGACAAGAATCAAAGTAAATCGATATTTTATACATTATTTTAGGATCAAAGAGTGAATCCATTGGAGCGAAATATTGAGGTAACAAATATATTATTGGTGATGGGTTCTTTAATTATTTTAGCTAAATTAAAGTTTTTTTAATAAATTGCTATATCACATTGCAGTTGTTGTTGGCCAATTAATGTGCTAATAACAAATTTTTCCAAACTTCTCATTTTATATTTAATAAGAAATATATTACAATTTTAACTAACCAATTTATGAAACTAAATTAAAATACTGTATTTATTGTGTTCTTTTCTTTTAAAAATATTTTTTAAATTTAGGATCAAGCCCCTGCGAAAAATCATCTAAGTCATCGTCGCCAGTGACATCTAGCGGTACAAAGCATGATATATTTCCAGATTCAACTCAACTTCAAGTACCAGTTGTAACTAGACCACATAGATCTAAATCCATGGACGTTTCTCTCATGGGTTTAAACCTTGAAGATGCTAAAATAACTATAGATATGAAAAGTAATGAAATTACTATAACTCCAACCGGCTCCAAAAACTTTATTGACGATTACAAAGACATATCTGAGAAATCGGTACATTTTAATGCGATTGAAGAAAAGCTTAACATTGGTGATAAAATTAACCAAGCATTTGAAAATTTTCAAGATGGACTTAATACGTTCAGCGAGTTTCGACAAAAAGATATGAACGATACACATGAAGTAAGCGGAAACAACGCCTGCGGCTCTAAATTAACCATAAGAGGCCCCGGTAATTACATAAAGAAAATAATTCAACAATTTAGTGAAGGCCCCTTTGAAATTGAAGACCCTAAACCAGAGTCCGAAAAAGCGATATCAGCCCATTCAATCAGAGATAGGGCTGACGCAATTTGTAAGAAATGCTTACATTATAAAGGGAAAATTGGGAAATAAATTAATTATTTAACTCCTTTTAACTATTTTAATTTATTTTTCGTGTAAACTCAACGATTATCTCATGGTACTCGTATTAAATGATCATATATTTTGTTATCATGTTCTAGTATTTTAATAATAAATGTAAAATAGTTTTGTTTTATGCACAATTTTTGCTCTTACTGTTTAAGTAGCTTACATTTGTAAAAAGTAATCTTTAAAAAATATTTTACGCTGTCATAAGGGTACCCACTGACACTTTCTCTCTTTGATGGACACTCACTTTGATGGATGCACTCCAAATAAAAATTTATCCAGATATGTTACCATTGACAATAATTCCGTTTGGATACATGGCGTCACTTCGAACTTGGCTGTCGTACGGAACGAAAATAAATAATAATATGGATAATAATAATTTACTGGTGGCTGCAGCATTTTATTAAAAAGACAAAAATCTAAACAGGACAATCCATCGTCATCTTCAAAGATGAAAACGCAAGATGCGTATTTTTATTCTTAATTGAGGATACATGTAGATGTCTATGAGCCACAGCACCCACCACCAGGTGGACTGTGTGCTAGTTTGTCATCCCATTCTAGATATGGTATATATTATGGTGGAGAAATATCTTTGACTGAAGTAGAAATTAAATAAATAAACATACATTGAATATTATTTATTGTAACTATACGTGGTAGAGCACCGTTGCATCTATATTATGATTGTAGCACAAATGGGTCGGTTCGAACGAGGAAGGACTACGCTCTCACAAAATAGCGGCTTAATGCTGCTGTGTTTCGTATGCTGCGTGTAGAAAACTGGATAATATTTTTACTGGAAACTAGGCACTCCTAGTTCTATAGGGGTGTGACAACGCATTTACATTTTGATTCTTATTCGATGATAGATTCAGTCCATGGGCTACAGTATCAATTTAACATCATGTGGACTGTGTACTCGTTTGTCACCCATATCACAGCCCATATTTTACATAATAAAAATATATTTAATCCAATACACAGTTTATGTTTGACAAACAGAGCACTTGTACCACCATCAACACCAAAACATAAACTAACACAATAACCTCAAAAAAATGGACTCCGGTTCGCCCATTCACTGACAATTTGGACTGCTTCCATTTGGCGTAGCGCACGTTTTTGACATTGACGAACGGCCGCGGATGACGTCCATTTAGACTGGACGCATGGATTACAATGCATATGGCAATCCAGAGCTTGATGAAGTCCATCCAAATGGAATATATTTTTACCATTCACGGAACAATTTTGGGCGATTACCACTCCATTTGGATTAATGGACGTGTCGTCAGTGGGTACCTTCTTACATAATTATTTCAATTTCGCATAAATGAAATATTTTGATTATCTGTGAGTTATTTATTTACTATTCTTAAATGATTACTCTGCATATAAGAAATAACATTTAATAGGTGTTAATTATTGTATTTAATTTAATCTAAGAAATCTTATATATAAATTAGTAAATTAAAATATTAGAGTAGGTGATTAAAATTTTAAAAATGTACTTAATATTTCGAAAATACTGCTGTGCAATACCAATAAATATAAATTATGGCCACGAAAATATAAAATTAATTAAAATATATTTACTTTAGAAAACTACATTTATAGTACTCGTAGTTAAATGTAGTGAAATTTAGAAAATACTAATTGTGTCTTTGCGAATAAAACTTAAAAAAATATATTGCTTCTAGTTGAACATTTATAAATAAAAGATGCGATATTGCTTCTATTTGAATATGAGCATGTATAAATAAAAAAATATAAAAAAGTTCATTTGTTTAAATTTTAAATAAATATATTATTGGAGGGCAGTTACTATTGCAATAAATATGTATGATGCAATTGAACATGAATTTAATTTTCACACTAACACTTGTAAAACATAACTTATGTATTAACATAAGAACCCGCAACGCTGCAGCAAATTCTTACAAATGTCAAATGCATAAAAGTACTGTGTTATCAAATTTTCTTTAAACACCAAGCCCACCCTAGAATTCTGTTGCTTTGAAGGTCTTAGCTCTAACGAATAACAATGACAAAAATTAATCTAAAAACTTATCAAAATTTTTATCTGAGATAATTATTCTTAATTTGGTTGTATTCCTTGCACAGGGCGACTTTATATTCCTGACCATGATATTACCTAAAATTATCCCTAAAAGCGACATACAAAGAATGTTATCAACTTACGCTTTCGATACTTTTGCAAGTTATCAAAGGATCTGTAATTTTTTGGTGCCGCAATCAAAATCTCGTCCTAAGACTATTATTATTATTCTCTATTCAGTAGTTTTCTATCTTCTTACTGCTTAAGAGTATTTTATGGTAACATTTAGTTCTATACTATTTCCGTATTCTTTTATTTTCTTTCCGTATAATAATACTAGAGAAAATTATTTTCAGGATGCCATCTAGAATCTATATAATGCCATATTCCTGTTTTAATTTAGTACAGACTTCTGATGGGAAGAGAAAAATATTTTTTTTTAATTTTCACGTAGTTTACGTTAGACATTTAAAGTAGACATACCGATCATATTTCGTATTATACCATAATACAGTCTGTGGGGCGTAAATATATTCCAATAATCCATTTCTTTAGGTAGGTGTCGTAAGAAGCGATAACTTCTGATACATGGCGATATAATAACCATCTCGTTTTCGAAAGACGTAAAATTACGCAGACGTAAATTGACGCAGTAGTGAGAGTGGAACATTGCAATAAGTAATCCGTTTACCAAACTTGATAATTATAGCATGTTCTCCCAACAACGGGATATAATATGGCCTAGTCAAAAGATTGTTTATTGATGATGATAAAACAGAATATTTTTTTTTAATTTAACCAATATAATGAAAAAGTCCAAGATCACACACTTATTTATGGTTTTATTCCAAAATTAATTAAAAAAATTTACAAGTAAAACATAACCTACACCGACGAGCGCAGAAACTGAAGTAACCGTATTCCCGCGTTACAGCAGTCCTTGTGGTGATATATATATATATATATATATATATATATATATATATATATATATATATATATATATATATATATACCGGTCCATTGCCATTTAAGCTCACTGCTGCGTTGCACCATGTTAGTGACTCTGGTTGTACTTTATATAACCTTATTTATAAGTTTATTACGCATCGAAACCTCCGGGCTCATACAGCCAGCAGTGAAGGACCACGTCCGGGATCTGGGACACTGTTGTATGTCATCACTGGTTATACACTCTTATTTTCAAGTATGGAGGTATATGTACGTGGCGACAAGATGTGTCTTATATAAATATCTCTTTTCTTTATGCAACACTTGATAGGAAGCTCAGCTCATGTAGTACATATTTACCTACACTTTCGGGATCCAAGAAAACAAATTCCGGGTACAGCGGGATCGTAAATCGTAGACTCCGCAAACACCAAGATTAAAAAGGACGTGAGGGATTGGATTCCCTAGTTGTTCCTCTTTCAGTCGCTTCTTTAACTACTAGCTGCACTTGAGTCTCACAGCTCTTGTAGGGCAGAGCGGCCTTCCACTGGATGGAGTGATGACTATAGGGTAAATGGTTTATTTCTTATAAATTGGTTTACTTAACATTTTACAGTTATCTAATTTAATATACCTACATCTAATTATTTGAAATTAAATAAATAATAAAAATTAACTATAGTAACATATATATAGGGTTATTTTAAAATAACCAGCCTAATTTGCAGAGAAAGTTCAGAATAAGTGATATAGGCAAACGTCCTGTTTACTCCGTCCTTTTTATCTTTTAAATTCAAATTGCGTGGTAATGCTTTATTTTAACTAATTTTACTGCGCACACATACAGTCCTAAACGCGTTGACCGTTGAGGCAGCGCGTGGGAATATTTATTGCTCCAAAACCCTCTCAGAAGTGAGACAAGGCATGCCTCCAGTAGCGTGACGGATGTTGGATGTGACTTTACTTTTTACCCTTTAAGGCGATCGACATCAGTTCGGCCATGATGAGTCTTCTGCTGAACAAAGGCCTCCATCATATGCTGACACAAGTTATGATTCTGCTTTACCTACAATCATCGACTCTCTTCGTAGGTACCTCATCAGTTTGTTATTATAATATCTTGGAATTTAATATTGGTTAAATCAAATCAAATGTAATCAACTATTGGATATAATAGGAATATGAATTAAAAATCATACCAACTTAATAAATATTTATTAAATGCGTAACAGTCATTTTAATAATTAACATTTAATACTTACATAAATTGAGCGAATTTAACGAAAGGTTAGAAATAAATTAATATTTTCTGGATATCGACCTTTAATTTTGGTTAAGTTATGACGATATATTGTTTTAATTTAATATTCTTAAATCTAAATGTATCCTCCCCTTAATCAAAGAACTTACTTAAATAAATAAATGCATATTAATATACAAAGTCAAATGAATGAAATATATTTTATTACAATATTATAAAATTTTAGTTAAGGTAATTTCATATTTGTAGTATTTTAACGAGTTAAAATCATTAGGTAGAGAGCATTTTTGAATGCAAAATTAAAATTAACTATGATAATATTTAATTAACTCACTTGACTAAGACCAAAATAACTTTAGTCTATTCAAATATTTATATTTCGACAATACCATTAGGGCTTGTTTCTAAGTCCGATTATTCTTAGAGACAGGATCTATTAAATTTATGTGTTGAAAAATGAAAAACGTAGCATATAATGATACAAATTGATTGCATTTTTTGGGTATTTTAATATTTATCTTTTATTAGTAGCGGTATGCACGCTGTAGATGTAGGCGCAAACAACAAACTTCTGATAACACTTATAAATGTGTAATCAGCAAACCCACATATCCTCTACAAAATTAAAACCGCATTTGCATATAATTCTCTGAATAATTCAAACACTAATTCATTTTACTCCCGTGATGCTTTTAAACCAAGGCTTATAGTACGTTGTTCTCATATAAACGCCAGGTAGAAACCTAGCTGCACACTTAATACCATGGGACACTGTTCCTACCAACACCCACCGACCGTCGTCATTTCGCACCACTAGAGGACCACCACTGTCACCCTGAGGAAAAAAATGGAGTAAGAGTGAAACATTTTGATAAACTGAGTTGAAGCTAGTTGATTGGGAATATTGTCTGTTACTTCACAATTTTCTGTTAGCATCGTTCGAGACGACGAGAGGAATAGCCGGAAAATATGGTGACCTATAGATGGCAGTAAAAACATGCGCTATTTTAAATAATATAAGAGTGAGAAAAGAGCTGAAAGCCCATTATACGCAGAATCGTGTATACCTACAGCCAAGCTTATAAAAACATGTGAAAGACAAACAACATAAATACATGGGTAACCTGAGATTTTTGAGGAAATGCCTGAATGTTTGTAACCATAATAGCTTTGCATTTATCTCGTTAAGTTTTAAGTGATAAGAACTTTTCTTCTGCCTAGATAGGTACCACCTTATTCTAACGCTAAATAGCAGTGCTTGCACTGTTGTGCTTTGGTCTAAAAGTTATAGAAAGCCAGTTATAATTCAACGCACAGACAACACAGTCAATACTTCAATTGTCAATTGTTTGGGCTGCAGAGCCATTTAACATTAAATGGACGCATTTAAACGTTTCAAATATAAATGGCAAAACAACTCATAGTAGGTATCAATCTTTGGTGATTATTTAATGTTAAATGTTTTGTTTTTAACTTTTAAAACAATACCTTTTTTCTAGAAAAATTAAAAAGATTATTACTTAAACTTAAAAAAATGTTTACCTCGCAGGAATCTTTCTTCCCATTCGAATACCCAGCACAAATGAAAGAATCAAGAATTTTCTTTGCATGGCCTGCTGTTTGGAACATGTATTGACAGTGGCTATTTTCCATAACTGGCACCTGGAATATAAAATAAGAAATAATTAGTTCGTTTCTAATTGTTTTTCAATTTGACTAGAGCTCGATTCAACTCTGATCGAAATCTTGAAAACTCTGACGGAAAAGATTACACACGCAAACACACAATTTGTTAATTTGAGCAAATTTTATAAGATATTCTGTAAATAAAGTGTGATTTCCGATTAAAAAGAATATCTACAAATCCTTAGCGTTACGGAAGTATTTATTGAAACAAAAACAGAAACAGAAACTTTTTTATTCAATGTAGATTATAAACAATACTTATTGAAAGTCAATTTTTTCATTTACCACTGGTTCGCAAAAAAAACCTCTGTCCTGGGAAGAACCAGCAAGAAACCCAGCGGGACTATTTTTTTTTTTCAAATAATAGCTTACAATCATGTTTACAATTAACAACACAAGACAAACTAGAAATAGCTTGATAGCGATCACCCTTCCCAGGGGTTATTATCATCCATAAATTCCTTAATATTATAATAATCCTTTTTATACAAACTTAGTTTAATAAAATTTTTGAACTTTGCGTTTGACAAATTTTGTATATTTTCTGGGATTTTGTTGTAAAAGCGTATACATCGCCCCAAGAATGAATTACTGACTCGGTGGAGTTGATTAACTGTTTCGATTAGCTTGTGTCTGTTCCTAGTATTTACAGAATGAATATCACTTATTTTTGCAAAATTACGTTTATTTTTGTGTACGTACGTTACATTTTCATAAATATATTGAGAGGCCAGAGTTAATATATTAATTTCCTTAAATTTTTGTCTCAGTGACTCATTTGGTTTTAAATTATATATTACTCTAATAGCTCTCTTCTGTAAAATAAATATAATTTCAGTGTCAGTCGCGTATCCCCATAGCAAAATACCATACGACATAATGCTATGGAAATAACTAAAGTAAACTATTCTTGCTGTTTCAACACTGGTAAGAATTCTAATCTTTTTTACAGCATATGCTGCAGAACTAAGTCTGCTAGCTAGTTTTGATATATGGGGGGAGCCATTGAAGCTTTGCGTCTAGTGTGATTCCAAGAAAAATGGTGGTATCAACAAGACTCAGTTCTTCCCCATTTAAAATTACATTCGTATTAACATGTTTGACATTAGGAGTTACGAATTTCATACATTTAGTTTTAGTTCCATTTAAATGCAAATTATTACCATTAAACCAATTGACTACCTTAGCTATAGCATTATTTACTTCGTCGTAATTTAATAACTGTCGTTTTAATTTGAAAATTAATGAAGTATCATCAGCAAATAATACTATATCATGGTTATCCCCTACTATGTAAGGTAAGTCATTAATATATACAAGAAACAGAAAGGGGCCGAGAATTGAGCCCTGAGGCACGCCCATTTGTACAGTCGACCCGGAAGAACTCATACTATTAATTACAACTTTTTTTGCGTTCTATCACTTAAATATGAAATAATTAATTTAAAAGCACGACTTCTTACACCGTAGTGTTAAAGTTTCCTGATTAATGTTTCATGGTGAACACAATCGAAGGCCTTGGATAGGTCATAGAATATACCCAAAGCATCCTGTTAATTCTCCCATGCATTAAAGATATATTTAATAAGCTCAATACCAGCATCAGTTGTTGAGCGACCCCTTGTGAAACCGAATTGATTTTTATGAAGTAAATTATTTACATTAAAAAATTTTTACATTTGATCAATAATAATTTTTTCAAAAATTTTACCAAGTGTTGGCAGTATAGAAATAGGTCTAAAATTATCGGGGTCCAATGTACTGCCAGATTTAAATAAAGGTATTGCTTTACTATGCTTCATTAAATCAGGAAACACACCAGATTTGATACTAGTATTAAAAATAATAGATAGTTGAGATGCGATTGCACCTGTTATAGACGCAATAACTTTAACGGAAATCCCCAACAGATCGGCGGTTTTCTTAATATCAATAGTCTTAGAATATTTTAGAATATCTTTTGATGACACTTTATGAATGTAAAATTCTTTGTACACGCATTTACATTTTGTTTAAGTAATGATTCGGCGACGGCGGGAGAAGAATTCAGTGACTTAGTGGTTAAGATAGGAATATCAGTAAAATATTTCTCGAAAACTATTGCAACGTCCTGATCTGATTCAATTAATTTATTGTTAAAACTTAACTGATAGTTCGAATTGCGAGAGCTAACCTTCCCAGTTTCACTATTAATTATACTCCATATTATTTTAATTTTATTAGAAGCTGTCTTTATTTTGTTGCTCAAATACAATGACTTGGCTATGGAGCACACTCTTTTAAATATTTTGGAATATTTTTTTACATATTCCCTAAATTCGACGCTAGGATTATATAAACTTTCATTGTAAAGTTCATATAACCTCTGTCTACTTTTATGGACTCCTACTGTCGCATATTGCAACAGTGTCAGTGAAGGTTAAAGGGAGACCGCCTTGGTCGACGTACCCAAGCATTTCAATGAAACTGTTTGCTTCGTTGATCGCCATGCATATGTTTTTACGTGTTAAAGCCATGGTGCGTCTATATTAGTAGTATAGTTGTAACACGAATGGGTGAGCTCGACCAGGGAGGACCACGCTCCCATAGAATATTAGCGAAATATAGCACCTTAATGTTGCTATGGTGAGTGTAGAGAACTGGAGACCCTTTTTACTGGAAACGAGGCATTCTATGTTAGTCCTCGTGGGAAACAACACACCTGTATTTTGAATTATCGAGGTTAGATGTAGATGTCTATGTGCCATAGCAACCACTTACCATTAGGTGGACTGTGTACTTGTTTGTCACCTTAATCTACATCGAATAATTTATATTACAATAGTTAAGAAAAAGTATTACCCTTTTACTCTGTCTGCAGCAAAACAGCAGCACCAACTGCTGTATTTTTTATTGGATAGGGTGACAAACGAGCACACAGTCCACCTGATGGTAAGTGGTTGCCGTGGCCCATAGACATCTACATCTATCTATCAAAATGAAGATGCGTTGTCACCCTTGAGGACTAAGATGGAATGCCTCGTTTCTAGTAAAAAGGGTCTCCAGTTCTCTACACTTACCATACGAAACACAGCAGCATTAAGCTACTATTTTACGCTGGTATTCTGTGAGAGCATGGTTCTTCCCCGGTCGAGCTGACCTTTTCGTGTTACAACTATACTTCTAATATAACTGCAGCTACCACGTATACGTGTTCTAGTTTCAAGCGTAAGAGAACCAGAATAATGATTGGATTGGAAATATTCAGCAATATCATTTCTGACGCAAGTATGCATATTATGTGTAAAGTTATTTAGTTACTTTGAACACACGTTTAACCACAGATGGACTCTTCGCACTGTTTATAATATATTAAATTTAAAAAAATAAATAAATAAAGTTATAATATTTAAAAGAAAACAATAAATGACAGGGTTCACCAAAATTTCTTTTAAATTAGGCTTCATGATTCATAATTCAAGTTTTACCTATGATAAATGGTTTTTGGTCTTCCTTTTACGGCAATAAAACAAAGCCTTTTTTTAAACGTGTCACCATATGCTTAATTAACAAAGTCAGATATTAATGTGTACATTACGAAGAGACAGAAAGACTTACCTGTACTTCTTGAAGAATAGCTGGAACGCCTCCGCCATATTTTAGCCTTCCCCACCCAGTAACAGTTGCCATACGATTTGTAAAATCGGCACCATCGGGCGGCATACAAATTGGTACTGAAATATTATTGAACATACAGTAGCTTATAAAATTATTAAATAAGGTGAGAAATATCAACTTAATAATATAATAATACAAGAAAAAATCAAAGAAAGTTTTTTAATACGCCTGGTTATACGGATATTATTGCGTTTAATTTCGAAACGTTGGGAGTTAAAAAATAAAGTCTAATTAAAAATGATAAAATCCGTAAATTAAGTTTAGTCAATGAGTAAAATTCGCGTGAATATAAAAAATCGTTACTACACATTTTTCTTCAGCGTATAGTACGGAAAACATGCTAACAGCTAAACTTTCTTTTTACGTATAGTGCGGAAAACATGCTAACAGCTAAACTTTCTTTTTACGTATAGTGCGGAAAACATGCTAACAGCTAAACTTTCTTTTTACGTATAGTGCGGAAAACACGCTAACAGCTAAACTTTCTTTTTGCGTATAGTGCGGAAAACATGCTAATAGCTAAACTTTCTTTTTTGCATTTAATATAATTACTATGATTGGCAAGTGGGTTGGGGAGTGCAGTACACTGTTGTATGCTTTTTCCTATAGCCCAACTGTAAGATTTGGCGATTGTGGGTTGATTTTCCTCTATCATCCATCAATAAGCATATATTGCAATTTGAAGAAAAACTTATAATAAGCCCACTGCCCCCTTAAAATCCTGAAATGTCTGAACAATAGCTTCTTACATCTGTAAAATTATTCAGATGCCGCCAAAGTTTGGATAATTTTGAAAAACGTTACCCTCACACTAGAAATTCCACTTGTACGTAAAGGCGTTTTACATACATAAATAATCACAAAAATATAATCGTTTTGTCACGTAATAATTATTTAAAGGCAATTCAAATATATATTCTAAGAGAAATTTGAACTTGCGCTACAGTTAAATGCCAAGCTTCTGCGTTAAAAGAACTTTCATATACAATTCAACCATTATCTTAATTTAATTATGTGCATTCCAATACAATGATTCGAGTGTTCCTTGTATAGCTTTTGCAATTCCCGAGTGCGGTCGACCTATGGATGTGGTTCGACATGTATGTGCACAGTGTGGTAGTGAATTTCAAGAACTTATAGTAGGGCTTATAAGAATACACTGCCCTAGTGAGTGACGCAAAGTAAGCCTTCCTATCTTCCTATCTTCCTGATAACAACTCAAAGTAATAAAAAGTGCAGTTGTCAACAAACTTGTCAAGTACAGTGGTCAACAAAGTTTTCAAATGTGGTAACAATGGTAAATGTACTCCCCATGAATAAATCTATGGGGGGGGGTGTGCCAATATTTAGCAGTGGACTTTTGATAGGCTGAAATAAATGAATTAATAAATGAATTAATAAAATTGCAGTTTGTATTTTGTTGTGCTGTTGAAGCAATTTTAATAATAACAGCACGTTGGATTATCACATAAACTTAATACTCTTTTCCTAGAGTGCATGAAGAGACGTAATAATAGTTCAGTACATTTCTATGCCTTTATATTTTTAACGGTCCTTTAAATTATCTTCAACTAGCTGGTACCCGGTGCGTTGCTGCCGCAGAAGAAATAATTGTGGAAGTATATTTTCGGGATGTTATCGCTGTTAGTCTATGCGACTCTTACAGCTTCACCTGGTATCGTTTTAAATTGAGAAGGTTATTAGATATAGTTTTAGTACGAACACATTCAATGAAATTGAATGATATAATATGACTTTAAAATAAGTTTGTCGGTTGCCGCCATCTACTATAAGTTAATGTACAATTATGCCTATAACCTTTGCTCAAGTGCAAGCAATAAGCTGACAAAGTTTTAGCGAAATCTGATGAATGGGAATGGAATGGGAATGGAGCGCATACAATACGAACACACAAAAATTAATTTTTATACATTATATGTGTGGTTTGTATTAAGAACATTCATAACTTCTTACCAATGTGTGGTTCATATTTTATAGGAGAGTCCAATTCAAGTAAGGCCAAGTCATTTTCGAAAGTTGCAGCGTCGTATTTTGGATGAGGTATGACCCTTCTAACGTTCTTTGATACCGGTCTTCTCGGCTCTAAGTTAGTTGATATATCATTTTCACCAAACACTGCTACCAATGAGCCCATAAAGCTGCCAAATGAAATTAATTCTTAAAGGTGGTTATATTCTTAAAATAACATAAAATGTATTTGATTAATCTGTGAGTAATTTCTTAAGTTATTAAAGTGATTTAAAGCATTGTACAATTATAATCAAAATACTGCAGTTCATAATAGTATTCTAGTCTTCATATTATGGTCATCAAGAACAAAAAGATCTATCCGTGTTGCAGTTATAAAACGGGTGCAGCTTTGATTTGTCTAGTATAGTATTTTGTCGTTTTATGAATTTACATTAGCAGACTTTAGGTTTAACTATTTTTCTTATAAAATAAGGGGATAAACCATCACACACTTCAACTGATCCACCTGGTGGAAAGTTGATGCTGTGGCCCCTAGACATCTGCATTTATCCTTTATCCAATATATATATATATATATTGGGTTACTGGTAACTCGACGTATCGACGTATTCCCGCCAAGGCGTGATAGTTGGGGTCATAACCTATCAAATGAACCATAAAATGCAAATGTGGACCAATTTCGAGATATTTAGGTTTAATAATTTTTTCAAAAATCCCTAAAGTCTGGTTTCTAAAAAAACTTACAGCTGTATTATTTTCATTTTATTATTTTTACTTAATAAAAACCTGGATAATTATTTATCAATACTACAGTGTGCAAAAAGTCTCATCATTTTCGAAGTAACGCTACTAAAAGTACAAATTTTTCCAAACAGAAAATAAGTAATTAAAAATAAAAATGAATTTGTGAAAAATAATTGTATGTGACCAATTGTGCAAATCATGTTAAAAACATCCCTACTTATCTAGCTACCCAACGAAGTATCAATTTAGCAGCTTGTAACTTAAATAGTACAGAAAAAACTTGAAAAAAAGGGGCTAGGTAGACAAGTTCCGAGTAGCAATGTTTTGGGTAATCCCAAACAATCGCTTCTCGGAACCTTATCAACAGCTGCGGGAATGCTCGTAAAAGATTGTGCGTTTGAACTTACGCTATTGTTTACATTTAGTGTGAAATTAGAAACAAGTTAAACAAGAAGAAACTGTTCAATCAGTCATCAGTATTACAGGCATCGTACACACGCGCGCATATCTCTCCCTGTTACACTTAAAGAAATTGAGTTTCAAAGTTTTATGGCGGCGGAACCACCAAGACGCGGAGATCATGCAAGGTAATCATTTTCCAACGAGGAATACGCAGATGTCTTTTATCTCTATGGATATTGTGACGGTGACGCTGCAGCTGCTCGCCGTGAATACCTACAGCGCTACCCTAATCGCCGACCACCCCATGTCACAGAAGATGAAGAAATTTTGAGTAAATTTCTAGAAGATCCAACCACTTCCACGAACATAGTTGCTATCGTATCGTATCGCAGTGGAAGGTCTGGTCTACTGTGCATACTGCGGGGCTTTATACGTACCACTACACACCAGTGCATGTGATTCAAGAAGGAGATTAATATTGGTTAAAAATAAAACACAAATTCCTTTGTCTGTTTCTCTCTAGAACTCGACTATCTGACCTCATTCTAGAGGTAGATAAATAGGGATGTTTTTAACATGATTTGCACAATTGATCACATACAATTATTTTTCACAAAATCATTTCTATTTTTAATTACTTATCTTCTGTTTGAAAAAAGTTGTACTTTTAGTAGCGTTACTTCGTCACCGTCACAATATCCATAGAGATAAAAGATATCTGCGTATTCCTCGTTGGAAAATGATTGCCTTGCATGATCTCCGCGTCTTGGTGGTTCCGCCGCCATAAAACTTTGAAACTCAACTTCTTTAAGTGTAACAGGGAGGGATATGCGCGCGTGTGTACGATTCCTGTAATACTGATGACTGATTGAACAGTTTCTTCTTGTTTAACTTGTTTCTAATTTCACACTAAATGTAAACAATAGCGTAAGTTCAAACGCACAAACTTATACGAGCATTCCCGCACCTGTCGATAAGGTTCCGAGAAGCGATTGTTTGGGATTACCCAAAACATTGCTACTCGGAACTTGTCTACCTGGCGCCTTTTTCTTTAAGTTTTTTCTGTACTATTTAAGTTACAAGCTAAATTGATACTTCGTTGGGTAGCTAGATAAGTAGGGATGTTTTTAACATGATTTGCACAATTGGTCACATACAATTATTTTTCACAAAATCATTTTTATTTTTAATTACTTATCTTCTGTTTGGGAAAAGTTGTACTTTTAGTAGCGTTACTTCGAAAATGATGAGACTTTTTGCACACTGTAGTATTGATAAATAATTATTAAGGTTTTCATTAAGTAAAAATAATAAAATGAAAATAATACAGCTGTAAGTTTTTTTTAGAAACCAGACATTTGGGATTTTTGAAAAAAATTATTAAACCTAAATATCTCGAAATTGGTCCACATTTGCATTTTATGGTTCATTTGATAGGTTATGACCCCAACTATCACGCCTTGGCGGGAATACGTCGAGTTATCAGTAACCCATATATATATATATAAAGCCAAATCCGCAAGTAAGTAGTAATAGCTGCCTTTTATAACTTAATCATCTACTAAAAAAGGACTTTCGAAAATTCAACCCCTAAGGAGGAGAAATAGGGTATTACGGCCAATATGAAACTAACAAATATGTAAATAAAATAAAGGATTTTGTTCAAATTTTTATGGAAAAAAATAATAAATATGTTATTTCAATTTATAAATTGATGTATATTACTAGACTCTTGAATTGAAATAATTAAACTAAATGGCTATTCGGAAAACCCCATTCTATTTTTAGTTCTGCGGTCCCTTCGTATAATGTGATCACATAATGAGTGTGGTCATGACTGTATGGACCATTGAATACCATGATACATACATATGGGCGCTTTGACGTGGATGCGGATAACACAGCGGGGCGAAAAAAGTCTTTGTATAAAATAGAATGAAACATTCTTTTTTTGTCTGTTAAACTGTCACATTTTCGTCAGAAAAACGTTCAAATCAGTTTTAGAAACAATGAATAGTTTGAATGAAAGTTTTAATTGAAGTAGAATACGTCCAAATCTACAATCTCGCAGTTTTTGTGTTGCATAAATTAAGCTTTTTAGTACAGATTCGGCTTAAAAAATCGCGGAAGCGACTGATCGAACATCAAGGAAGATATGAAAGCGGTGTAATATTGTGGTAGTTCAATAAGATAACCGGAACACTTTGATTATGAAAGAAAAGGCTATGGGAATTATTTGAAAAATATGTAAAATGTCATGCCGATATAACATAGTGGGGTATTCACGAACTTATAAAGACGAAGAGTATATTAAGGAAATTATTAGAGGTATAGGAAAAAAGGAGTATATTATTGAAAAAGGTGCTTACCCTGGTTGACAATGCGCTGCTGTGGTGACAAAACGATTGGTAATAAGCACTCCGCCACACTTGTTCTTTGTAAAGAGACCCAACCACGAAGACTCTCGAATTAGAACCTGCCACGGCCATTCACCGAAAGAAGCGTTCTTTCCTCCTACGATGCGACCAGATTTTACTAGTGGTCGGACACCACACACTGGAATATATTTAAAATATGCAATTTTGTAAACATTTAGACATTACACTTAGATTTCAAAATCTTTATTCATCATAACAACGTGTAGTTCGGGGGCATATACATAACATAAGTAAAGTGTAGGGCGATTCCCCGCTAGATGGAATGATAATCTGGTAAGATATGCAAGTTAACGGATGCAGATGCCTCATGATCGTGCTTTATGGCATTCTTTGGGGGAGAATGTTCAGTAGTGGACTTGTGAAGGGCTATAATGATAATGATGATAATGAATCATATATAAAATTTACTGAGTTGTATGTTAGAAGAATTAAAAAAATATATTGACCAGAAGTCGTACAAAATTCTTTAGGACAGTAAACTTTCCAACTTTAAGATTTATTACCAACATTTTTTTTTAAATTAAATCATTTAAGTATGTGGAGTTCCCTGGCGGAGGTCTATGTTCAGCAGTGGACTTATGAAGAGTTGTAATGATGATAATGGTGATTTAATTTTTAAAGCATTTAAATAATACTTACAATTCTTGTCATTGTAGTTAACTATTTGTTCCGTGTAGCTTTCTGTTGTTATTTCATCATATAGTTCGGTTGTAGTGCTGGGAGTTACAGTCGTTGTTGTTGCTTTTTTGGTTGGTTTAGGTTTTTTAGTAGTTGTGACCTAAAAAAACATTTATCGCAGGCCCAGAGCAAGCCCATTTTGTATTGGTATGTCACGAGTAGTACTATAATTTTTGTGACTATAAATTCAAAATAATTAAATAAAAGAAAAGGAGGCTTTCAATATCCACTATAAAAAGATAAAGTGTAATTATTTCGAAATGTTGGGTTACATTTAAGGTTTCTGTTGAACACATTATTTAGTTAAGTGTGTTTTTATTGTATTATAAATATGTATATTTTTACTATTTTAGGTTATAAAATTATTTACTTTTAAATTAATATTAAATTGCTTGTCACAACAAAATTGTCTTTATTTTATTTCTTACCGATTTTTTGGTGGTAGTTGGAAGAGTAGTTGTAGTAGTGGGTCTTCTGACTGTTGTAGTTAACTTAGTAGGTTTTTTAGTTGTTTTTATTGGCGTTTTTCTTGTGGTAGTAATTCGTGAAGGTTTTTTAGTTGTAATAGTTGGTCTTCGAGTTGTAGCTGGCGTTTTCCTTGTGGGCTTTAATGTCGTTGTTTTAGTATCTTTGATTATAGTCGTATTAGGCTTTTTATCAAGTATTACAATATCATGCAATTCTTGGAAAGTTCCTTGGAGACTTCCAACAATCTTGTTTACGAATAAATTCATTTTTTCGTTTAATTTATCATCTTCATGCCAAGTTGGTGTGGTGAATTCAACTTCGTGTAATGAATCCAATTCATTATCTGCCACATTTGTGTCAAATACGATAGTATTAGAGCCTGTGGTATTAAGCATTGGATTTCTTACTGGAGGAAAGTTGTTTAAGTCATCAGCAGGTGTTTGAAGTTCTGGTTTGAGAGTACTAGTAGAATAAAATTCTGTATAAGTATCGAAATTAGATACATCAGTTGTTGAAATTGAAATTGGTCTTGTAGAAGATTTTATCGGATATGGAGTAGTATTAGGTGATGGCTTAGGAGTGATAACTATAGTAGGTGATGCCGGTCGCTCAAATGTTTGAGGTGGTTTTCCCATAAAAATATTATTTGTGGATTCAATGTGATTATTGACTGTGATTTGACTAACAGGTTTTTTAAATGGCTCTTGTGATATTTCAACAAATTCTGGTTCCTTGTCCTCAGAAGAATCTGGTTTCGTCGTTTGTAAATTATTTAGTAAAATTACCGTAGGTGTTGCACTTGAGAAAGAATCTGGGGCAACATCATATGTGGAATCTGTGTTTGTTGAATATGTAACAGGTTTTCTGGAAGGTTTTACAACAGACACATAACTGGTTGATGGCGGCTTTCTAGTGGTAGGTGTCGGCTTTGTTGTACTCGAGCTTACGTAAGTAAATGTTGTAACAGTCTGTCCAAATTCATCAGGATCAGTAGGATATCTATTGAAAGCCTCTATTGCTTGACTAGTGGATTGACTAGGTTTAGAAGATAAATGAGGCTTTATAGATGCGGGCTTATTATCCTGTTGTATAACGTTAGGAGTCGTGTATATTATGCCGTAAGAAGGATTTTTACTAGTCAGACTGGGTTTGTTTGTCGCAGATGCACTGTTAGATATGTGTTCATTAGTGGGATACGATGATGGATTCAATGTTACATAGTGTCCCGTAGTTATATGATTTATTGGATATACACTGCTATGATATACCGGAGTCGTTGCGGTTATTGGGGAAGACTTTGTTTCCATCATATCAATTGTAGCGGATTGACTTAGGTCTTCCTTCATACTAGGTGTGCTTTCATTTAACATCAGTATAATACTATCTATTGACGATAATTCCGTAATTTTCTGAGTGTCCTTTGTTACCGTAGGAACCATTACATAATTCTCTGTTGACGGGTTTTCGGTAGTCGATTTTATTACTGGTTTTGGTTTGAAAATAGGTTTAATTATAGGTTTATGTGTGGACACAGTAAAAGATGGTGGTGACTGGAAAGTTGTTGATGGAGAGATTGTAGGTTTTGTCTGCATTGAGGAGATTTGTATATTAAAATCAGAGGGTCTAACAATATCGTCTACTTCAGAGCCATTTTTATGTAAAAGTATCGTGTCAGCGCCAGCGTGGTCTATTGTACTTTGTGTGTCTAGCTTTTCAGGTTTAATGTAAGCTAAATTATTATCTTTAGGTGGGGTATTTAATAGTGTATTTGTAATCTGACTTAGTCCTTCCGATATTATTTCAGCTTGAACACTTTCGGTGCTAAAATTAGATTCCGCAGTTGGCATTGTTGCAGTAAAAACTGAATATTTATCACTAGGTCGATAACCAGGTGTTACCACAGGCTTAAAGCTATTATGCCATGTATCAAGTTGATCAAAATTATCGTATTCATCAACCTCAGTTTCTGACTCGGAATAATCCACGTAACCTGGAATTACAACCCCAGGGCCTTTAGGAATGTGTGATTGGCTATCAGATTTGAGTTGACAACAAGCCCCGAACAGAAAACCATCCATGCAAGCACCTACTACCTCACCACCTCTTTGGGCACATTCGTGATTGAACATACATATTGTATTCCCTCTGTTATACCTGGCAGCTCTAGATGCTTTACAGTATGTAGGTGTAATTCTATAACCTCCAAAAAGTCTCCTTGCATCTGGAAAAATAAAACAGAATCATAAGCATAAAAATTATTAAAAAATCTATTACACTAACAAAACCAAAATACCTATTCCGGTAGTTGTTATGAGCACGAAGCTCGAATTTGTTGACGAGTATGTTTATCTGGGAAAAATAGTCCGAATAGATAAGTCCAACTTCGATCGAGAGGTCATTCGACGTATTTAATTCAGCTGTTCAGCGTTCGGAAAATAAGGACACATCTTCTCGTCAGATATATCTCAACACTTGAAAACGAGATTATACAACGAGTGCGTGTTTCCAGTGATGACTTATGGATCTGACACGTGTCCCTTCACTGCTGGCCGTATGAGGAAGCTCAAGGTCGCTTAGCGAGCTAGGGGGGGATATGCTCTGGGTTTCTCACTTTTTTTATAGAATTGTGGGTGACAAACCAGCACACAACTCACCTGATGGTAAGTGGGTACTGTGGTGCATAGGCTTCTACATTTATATTTGATTAAGAATCAAAATGCTCTGTCACTCCTGAGGACTACGATTGAATGCCCTGTTTCCAGTATAAAGGGTCTCTGGTTCTCAACACTCACCATACGAAAGACAGCAGCATTAAGCTATTTTACGCTGGTATTTTGTGAGAGCGTTGTCCTTCCCCGGTCGAACCGATCTATTCGTGCTGTAACAGAATATATCACGAATATAGCTGCAGTGTGTCTCTATCATGTAAAAATCTACCTTCTCTGCGTGATAAACTTAAAAATGTGGATATCCAGAGTTGAATCAGAGAGACCGACATAAGCCAACGGATTTATTTAGATCAACTGACAATGGGCCGGTCATATACATCGAAGAACCGACAATCGATGGGAAAAAAGGTTCTCGAGAGGCAGTCTCGTACCGGTAGGCGAAGTGTAGGGCGACCCCCATTAGATAGAGTAACGACCGGGTAAGACATGCCAGAAAACAATGGTTGCAGATGAATCAGGACCATGCTTTGTGGCATTCCTTGTGGGAGGCCTATGTTCAGCAGATTTATGAAGGGCTGTAATAATGATTGAATAGAAGATTATGACATAGCACCAAGCTCATGCTACGGCTAAGTAATAAATTTGATTTAACCTTTTAGCAAAGTAATATTTTTGCGCTTTTGTTTAACAACAACTACTATGACACACGTATAACTTGAACACACGAAGTAGCTTCATTTTATACTGTATATTTTTTACAGGAGTTAAGTTAAATGTTCTCGAAATATTCTATTTCTAGACATCAATATTTCCTCATGATGTTTTCCTTCACCACCAAGCATGTGTCTAAACATATTATTTGACTTGTTTTATTAATATAATATTCTAATCTCGCTCAGACTGACGTCCGGGATATCATCGGAATAGTGTCGGATAAGACTTGCTCTTGGATCGTTACTCACACTTGCGTTTGGCTCCAACGATGATGTGTACAGCTGCCCATAGAACATCTCAATCTCACTCAGAATCTCAGGTGTCCCGGAAAGGATGCTGCCACACTCAATCTTCAGCTTTGACAGTTGGTTCTTATTGGCAGACAGATCTCTGGCAAAGACTTTGGAGCCCTGGTTCCGCTCGATCGCTTCTTCAATACGAGCAGTATTGAAGTTGCGCAAGTCTCGCCACATGCATTTGGAGATCTGTCTGTTCAACTGCCTGTATGCTGTCAAATCTGTTGACGATTGCAGCATCATCTCCCGTCTAACAGCCATGAGATTAAGAGTGTGATCGGAGAGTTTTTGTGTTCTTCTGCGGCGGGTCTTGCAGAACTTAGCTCCGACCGCATGGACAATTTCCACGAGATTATCATATCGTCATTTCTGCTGCTTCATATCTGCATTGCAATCTTCTGGGCACTGAAAGCGGTTACGTAACTCGAGCTGAAAAGTTACGGGATTCTGGATTAAAGCACGAGGGGGACGGAGCGTTGACTTCATTAGACGAGAACTCTTCAACTTAACGTTCAGGTTCAGTGTGTCACTAATCATTCGGTGATCGCTGCCAGTTTTCATCCTTGCCATTACTGAGGCATCACTGAACAGTTGGCGTGGTGGTCGTCATAATGAAGTCAATCTCATTTTTTGTCGAACCGTCGGGGCTCGACCAGGTCCAATTCTTGTGGGGCCGCTTCTGGAAGAAAGAGTTCATCATAAGGAGTCCCTCCTTCTCCATAAAGTCGGACAGATGCTGGCCCCTACGGTTCCGTTGCTCTACTTCAAATTTCCCTAACGTCAGCTCTCCAGCACCTTAAAAACGGCAAGTCCCCGGGCGAGGATGGAATTACAGCGGAGCTTCTGAAAGAGGGTGGAAAACCGGTACTTGAAGTCCTTCAGAGGCTCTTTAATTCCGTCCTCCATGGTGGCACTACTCCGGAGGCGTGGAGCAGAAGTTCGGTGGTCTTGTTTTTTAAGAAAGGCGACAACGCTCTCTTGAAGAACTACAGACCGATTTCCCTTCTGAGCCGCGTCTACGTGCTGTTTTCGAGAGTCATTACGAATCGTCTTGCACGTAGACTCGACGACTTCCAGCCTCCCGAACAAGCCTGTTTCCGAAAAGGCTTTAGTACCATAGACCACATACATACCCTTCCGCAAACTGTACAGAAGTCCGAAGAGTACAATCTGCCACTTTGCCTGGCGTATGTAGACTATGAGAAAGCCTTCGATTCCATCGAAATTTGGGCGGTGCTACAGTCTCTTCAGCGGTGCCAAGTTGACTGTCGGTATATCGACGTGCTGAAGTGTTTGTACAGTAGGGCTACGATGGCTATCTGAGTACAGAACCAGAGTACAAAACCTATCCATCTGCAGAGAGGTGTAAAACAGAATGACGTTATATCCCCGAAACTCTTCACCTCTGCGTTGGAAGACGTTTTCAAGCTACTGGACTAGAAAGGATACGGTATTAACATCAATGGCGAGTACATCACTCACCTTCGATTTGCCGACGACATTGTCCTTATAGCAGAATCGCTAGAGGACTTAACCATTATGCTCAATGACCTCAATAGTGCCTCCCAACTCTATCCGTTGGTATCCTTAAGATGAACATGGACAAAACAAAGATCATGTTTAATGTCCACGTCACACCTATGCCGGTAGTTGTTGGGAGCACTAAGCTCGAAGTTGTTGACGAGTACGTTTACCTGGGACAAATGGTCCGACTAAGTAAGTCCAACTTCGACCGAGAGGTCAATCGATGGATTCAACTCGGCTGGGCAGCGTTCGGGAAATTACGACGCATCTTCTCGTCAGGTATATCTCAAAACCTGAAAACTAAGTTGTACAAACAGTGCGTGTTGCCAGTGATGACTTACAGAATCGAGACGTGGTCCTTCACTGCTGGCCGTATGAGGACGCTCAAAGTCGCTCAGCGAGCTATGGGTAGGGCTATGCTCGGAGTTTCTCTGCGTGATAAACTTAGAAATGAGGATATCCGCAGTAGAACAAGAGTGACCGACATAGCCCAACGGATTAGTAAGCTGAAGTGGCAATGGGCCGGCCATATAGCTCGAAGAACCGACAACCGTTGGGGAAGAAGGGTTCTCGAGTGGCAGCCTCGTACCGGTAGGCGAAGTGTAGGGTGACCCCCCACTAGATGGAATGACGACCTGGTAAGACATGCAGGAAGTCGATGGATGCAGGTAGCTCAGGACCGTGCTTTTTGGCATACCTTGGGGGAGGCCTATGTTCAGCAGTGGACTTGTGAAGGGCTGTAATAATGATGATGATGATGATGATTAATATAATAAGTCACAAAAATTAAATAAATTTTTTATGTTCGTTTCGGTAGTAAAAAATTTTAGTGAAACTATATTCTGTTTTCGCCCGTTTTGTGTGACAGAAAAATAAGTTCGTAAAATCCAGTTTCTGAAAATTGAAATTCCTATTAATAATTCAGTTTTAAGTCACTTTACATACATATCAATAAGAAACATAAACTAAAGGTCAATTATAATTTTTTACCAGATGGCCTTAGTCCTCTCTTGGACTAAATAAAGAATTGAGACTATAGTTTTCGACTAAGTATAAAGGTAAGAGATTTTAGGTTGAAAGATTTCAGACAAAATGTAATACAAAGATAAATCTGAATTACTAAATCCACCTTAAAACATCCAAATTAACCAAATTACATACTAGACTCTTTTTGAAATTAAACACAGCATTAGCTACACACATAATTAAGAACGGAATAATATTTTGGGTAAACAGTGCACAAACCAATTATTATTTTTATTAGAATAATAGCCTATATTGATAAATTAACTGTAACGGATAATAAAAGTATAATAATGCTGTATATTAATATATTTATTGTATATAAATATATTTATTCTACCAAAATTTTAAATATTTTTTTGTTATAGGCTTTCATACAAGGTATGATAGTTTTATTTTATTAATAAATAATTTAGTTATAGGACCCGTGCGTGCAAACACTTACAAATAAATATTGGAATACCAAATCCCTTCAAAAGTGCTAGTTTTAAGATCTTAACAGGTGTAACTAAAAACAATAACTGTATTGTTACTTTACTTATTTTACCTATAATAAAAAAAATATTGGCTTACATAGCCACTCGCTCTACATTTCTCACATTTTGATCGGACGAGAAAGTATCATACGTGATCCGTATACAGTTTCAAAGCGATTGAGGAAATTCAGGTTTCAAGACTCCTTATGAATATGCTCTCGCATATCCTCTGTCGTGTGCAATCGTAAAGCAACTGTACCGAGCTTGTACATTCGGTTTGGCAAGGAATTTCTTTCTAGTCAAAATTAGGCTAATAGCTGCAGTAGCTCAGGGGCTAAGCGCTCGCTGAATATCACAGTACGCGACAACCCAGGTTCGAACCCCGCCGGAACCAGTGAAATTATTAATTACAATTTAAGTGTTGATTTACCACGTGCTCTACGGTAAAGGAAAACGTCATGAGGAAACCTGCATTTCTTAGAAATAAAAAAATATTGCGGAAACATGTAAATTCCACCA